CTTGTTGGCTAGGAGTGGTAATCCTCTGCTCAAGTAAATACTTAAGACTATGATGATCAGTTTCTATGTTGAAGTGTCGACCTAACAAATAAGTTCTCCATTTCTGCATAGCAGTGACTAATGCTAACAACTCCCTCTCATACACTGATAAAGCCTTGTTTTTGCCTGATAATCCTTTACTGAAGAAGGCTATAGGCTTGCCTTCTTGTATCAGAACAACCCCAATACCTTCTCCTGATGCATCAGTCTCAATAGTGAATTCCTTAGAAAAATCAGGCAAAGCCAGCACAGGGGCAGTAGTTAAGGCTGCCTTCAGTTTCTCAAAAGCTGCAGTAGCATCTGGACTCCATTGGAAATTTCCCTTTTTAAGTAAATCATGAAGGGGTCTAGCAATAGTGCCATAGCCTTGAATAAATCTTCTATAGTAGCCTGTTAACCCCAGAAATCCTCTTAGTGCTTTGATGTTGTTTGGTTGAGGCCAACTCAAGACAACTTCCACCTTGACCTTGTCCATAGACACTCCCTCTTCAGAAATCACATGGCCCAAATAGTCTATCCTTGTCACTCCAAAATCACATTTGCTCTTCTTCACATATAATGTATTAGCTCTCAGAATGTCAAAAGCAGTTTCTAAATGCCTTAAGTGATCAGACCATGAAGAGCTGTAGATAAGTATATCATCAAAGAAAACTAGGATGAATTTCCTAAGATGAATGTGGAATATTTGGTTCACGAGGCTTTGAAATGTGGAGGGTGCATTAGTTAAACCAAAAGGCATAACTAGAAATTCATAATCGCCATGGTGTGTTCTAAATGCAGTTTTGTGTATATCAGGTTCAAACATTCTAATTTGATGGTAGCCGGATCTAAGGTCCAGCTTAGAAAAGTACCTTGCTCCATGTAGTTCATCCAATAGTTCCTCAATGATTGGGATGGAAAACTTGTCCTTGACTGTGCAATTGTTCAGCTCCCTGTAGTCTACACATAATCTCCAGGTCCCATCCTTCTTTTTAACCATTACAATGGGTGAAGAATAAGGACTAGTACTGCTTCTGATAATACATGTAGCCAACATTTCATCCACCATTTTTTCTATTTCATCCTTCTGGACTACAGGGTATCTATATGGCCTAATGTTTACTGGTGAAGTCCCCTCCTTCAGAACTATTTTATGGTCATGAGTTCTAGAAGGTGGTAGCTCGGTAGGGGTCTCAAATAAATCATTGTACTTCTCCAGTATTCCCTGCAATTCTTGACTATCCATGTCCTCAACAACCTCTCCTCCCATAGCACAAAGGCTAGCTCCTATTGTCTGCTTCTCTTGCACAAACAGTCCCATGGAAATCATACAAAGTTCAGCAGGTTTGGCTAACAGCTTATCCATTCTTCCTGAAGCAATCATCTTCACAGTAGGAGGTTGGATTCCTCCGAAAGACACTTTTCTTCCATTAAAGTTGAACTCCATCTTGAGCTTCTTAAAATTCCACATGATATCACCCAATGTGATTAGCCATTGATACCCAACACAATACCACATCCCCCTATAGGTAGTATCAACATATCTGAATTGAAAGCCACTCCTTGCATCTTCCACTCCAGGTTCTTGCAAATGTAATGGCTCTGCACTTTACTCCCATCAGCCACTGATACATTAAAAGGAGCAATAGCAGTCATCAAACACCCCAACTTTTTGGCAATATTGATATCCAGAAAATTATGTGTGCTCCTAGTATCAATAAGGACCTGTACAGCCTTGCCCTTGATAGAAACTGTCACCCTCATAGTTCTAAAATCATGAATTCCACTTATAGCATGCATTGACACAAGAGGCAAAATGGACCCCTCTTCATATGTTTCTAATCCCTGGGCCATTATAGTTAAAAGTTTTGTTGCATCAAACATCATCTCCTCTTCTAATTCAACTGGATCCTGCTGTTCCTCTATCTTCATGTAGAACAATTGTCTTTTATTTTTGCACACATGCCCAAATGTGTATTTCTCATCACGGTTAAAACATAGACCCTTACTCCTTCTTTCCTCCATTTCAGCAGGTGTTAATAATTTGGGCTTCTTGTATATTGTTTTAGAATTTCCCACAGAAGTAGGAGTCACTCTGTGAGATAGACTGGGTTTGGAGTAGGAATTGTTTTGGGTTGAGGGGTTTGAGAATCTGGGAATATTTCTGGGAGTAGGTAATATAGGTGCAGAGGTGAAAACCTCCTTCTGCACCACTAAGGTATGTTCTTGTATCCTAGATAAACTGATAGCTTTAGCTAGGGTTCTAGGGCTTAACATTTTAACGGGCAATCCAATCTCAGGTTTTAGCCCTCTGATGAAACAACTAACTACATAATCTTTAGATAACTCAACTCGAGTAAGTAATTCATCAAAAAGATCAACATAATCTTGCACTGAACTCACCTGCCTTAAGTCCTTCAGATCTCCCATAGGATCATCAAACAATTCTGATCCAAATCTGGCATATAGACATCTCACGTATTCACTCCACCTAGGCCATTCTCCCGTTACACGATGCTTCATAAAAGACTGGTGCCATTGAAGCGCCCTGCCTTCCAGTTTGCAAGAAGCCAGTTTCACCTTTGAGCCTTCAGGAGTTCCATCAACATCGAAGAATTGCTCACACTGATATAGCCAATCCTTCAACCCTTCACCATTAAATTTTGGAAATTCAACTTGATAACTTCGAATTGGCAATTGATACTCATCATTTCTGTTCTGCCCAATTGCTGGTACTCGATCTGCAGCAGCTGCTGCTCTCGTCGATTGCGCATCACCTCCCATTGTCAAATTGCCTAATATCATATTTTTGATTTCCTCCATAGCTTGGGCTACTTTTGCATCCATCATCTGCCTCAAATCAGAAACAGAACTGATCACAGTATCCATGGAGCCTTTGAGATTATCGACCTCTTTCCTCAATTCCTGCATCCTTGTGTTGTGATCTCCCATCGATTGGTCCGGGAATGGCTTGCTCTGATACCAATGATGTAAGTTCCGTAATTGTGATCAAATTCTAGAAAGAACTAGAGTGTTCCTAAAGAGTAAAACAAGGAATTACTCTTGAACAGCCCACTTAATGCTGGTAACCCAGCTGAACTTAGAGAGAAGAAAAGAGAAGAGAGAGTTTATTGATTATACTTCCAGAAAACAGAATGGATACAATGCAAATCTATGTGAGCTAATAAAGGGAAATCAGTTTGGGCGGGAAAGTTAGTTGTAACTAATTTCCGGACCCATGTGCAGCGCACGTGTCTAACTACCTCTAACTAATTGAACCAGCTTAACACTAAATCATCAGCTAACTCTACTAACTAAGATCGATTACAACAACAGAAATGGAAAGTGTCTTAATGGGATCATATCATACCTAAATTTTGATTCACAACAAAATCAGAGACAGCAGAAAATGAATTTCAAATAATGAAAACATTATTAGGACGAATCTCATTAAAAAACAATACAAGAGCAGAGCACAAATACGTTGGAATGCAATTTTATTACTAATATATTTTCGAAAGTCAGTCTCTGCAAATCTATCAGAAATTGACGGAAGTAGGGCCAAAAAATTAAAAAATTATTCTGCTAAAACTTCAAATTGAAGGGAATACAGTGTTTTAATATTTCCAAATGCTGTTGATGATGTTACAGGGGAATATTCTTGTACAAAGTACAAACCCAGTGGAATAAATTTGAAATTTGAAGAAAGAAATCTCTATAATTACTTAAATTTTTTTGCTGCATAAACAAACAAATGGATAATGAATTGAGAAGAGTGCCTGTCTGATTTCTTAATTTATCATTTTTATTTTATTACATCAGCGGGGACTAATAAGAACCTACCTAGAAGGTTAACTCCATAGGAAAAAGAGAAAGTATTTTGTGAGAAGATCTTTGGGAAAACATATTTGTCAAAAGTTTTCACAATTTTCCATACTAGAAACATGCATCTTTCATTCCAAGATGCAATAGATTTTATAGCTTTATGCACCCTCTTCCCACCACAAAGTCCTCATTTAATATTTCACTATTTAAATACATTGAAATGTTGTATTTACAAGAAAAAAAAATTGGGCATCCATATTTGTAGATACTCAAAATTTAGTATTTAAAATATTGGTTTTTTAAATTTTTATTTTATATTGGGGTACGGAAGGGGAAGGGGATTACAAGGCGGAGAATAGAACACTCACCAATATAGTAAAAATTCAGATAGACATCCAACTGAGCTACTAATTTAGAGTTTGGATATAGATTTGGTTGAAACTTGAAAAAGGAGTTTTTGACGTTGTGTTAAAAAATAATTTTTTGAAGTTGAAGTTGTGTTTGGACATGCATTTTATTTTTTAAAAAGTTAAAGTTTTGTGACTAGAAGAAGAATTTTGACCCAAAAACTATCCTAAATCAGTTTTTGGGAACTTAAAAATTATTTCAAAAGTTTTTCAAAAACTAATCATATTTCAGAACAAACAATATTTTCAAAATTTTCTTGAAAAAATAGTCAAAATTTATGACCAAATGGGAGCTAAGATTCGAGAAAACAAAAAAATTGGTATTGTATACATTGTTAGTGCAATTCTTTTGTACACAATTAATGTATCTTAATTTGTTGGGTTACCTATCCAATTTTTTAGGTTACTAATCCCACCTAATATAGTTAGGTATCTATAGGTATTTTTTAAGTGATATGATAGTACAAAAGTTCTTTTACATTGTAGCTATATAAATTTAACTCGCAATGGTGAAATACTGAAAATTTTAAAAATATTGTAAATAAGTAATAATTTTCACCTATGAAACTTCAAACTCTTTTTTAACTTCAAACGAGCATGGAACTAAATAAAATGGAAGAAAAGCGAAAAGATGAACTTAGATGCCCTTATATTAATTAGACGACAGTAAAGTCAAAAGGGTTTTTTCCTGTAATAAGATCCAACTAAATTAGCTAATTTTAGGATTCATCAATCCTAGGATATCGAAGCTTCACAAAAAGCTTTCAGTGGATACATTTAGAAAGCAAGATTCATTCATCAAACACTGTCAAAAAATTTACACAAGCATACCATTCTATCCTAGTACTAAAATTTGTCAACATTTCCTGTGGAAACATAAGCCTAGAGAAGTTAACTTTTTAGATTATCTTCCCTATACAGCCATATTATCATATCTATGATTCAATGACCCTAAAACTAAGGTAGGCCAAAGCAAAGTTTTTTTAAAAAAATTATCAGAAGCAGTAATCTTCTTGCACTTGAGAACAAGACCTTTGCATTCTAACACCACTGAAACTTGTTCTTGATGCCATTATTTCATTCAGTGACAACCTCTTCTTTGGCCCTGGCTCTGGTCTTTGCTTTGGCGCACTATGGGACCGTAGCTTTGCGCGAAACGACTGTGTGTTAGCCATGTAACTAGGAAAGTTAGCATATGGCCGGAAGTAACCATCGCCACAAACGCTTTTGGCTGGTGTAGGTGGCGCAATGGAACGTCCAGAACATGCAAATCGAGGTGTACTTTGTGCTGAGGCAAACTTGCACTGCTCGTCCGCTAGAAAACTCCAGTTAATATCCTGAAGATGACGACAATCTGGGATCGATACACGGGCTGGAAGTGGACATGGGAGTGGTGATGACATAACTTGATAATGTTGCTCATCTCCAGATTCAGACATACAAGCAGCATTGTTCATTCTACGCGACCTGGATTTGGTCCTGTATGTGTCGATTTCTACAATTTTTGGACTATCATCAAATCCATCATACGAGGTCTCATTCGAAGTTGAAAGCCTCTTGCTGTGGAATTCATTTCTATATTCATCAAATCTTTCCTGCAAAACCAAAACACAGAACAAGAATACTGATTAAGACTCAATTATCAGACACAGTATGATAAAAGGGCACTCCCGCTATGCGCAGGGTCCACAAGGGCCAGACCACATTGTACGCAGCCTTACCCTGCATTTTTGCAAGAGGCTGTTTCCACAGCTCGAACCCGTAACCTCTTGGTCACATGGCAAAAACTTTACCAGCCCTTCGTCACACATAGTATGGTAAACTAGAATAAACCCAAGGGCACTAGATTCTTACAATGGACCTCCTAGCTCGCATTTCGGGCTGGTATCTAGAGTCATTAGTCATTGAACGACGAGCTCTTTGAGATCGAACAGCAGCCTGCGCTCTGATGAGCGCCTGCATACTGTGAAGAGTTGCCGCGGCTCTCTTTCGAACAAGGTAACCCCTAACCAATGCCTGCAATTTCACCAGTCCCTTTAATGCTCTAAGAGCTTTTCTAGCCTGCAAAAAGAGCCAAAAATAAGATCTTTTTCTATATATTGAACCAATATTGAACAACTTCTAGACAATGAAATATGACACAAAACACAGAGCATAGGAAAAAAGACTATATTTACTGGATTCAAACACAAATTGACCGAATCGAGAATAAAGTAAGAGAATAACGAGGACCACCAATACCAGTTGGATATAACATAAAAGTGAAAAGTGCAAGGAAACTTCAACATCACTCAAAAGACCAAATTCAAAATACTAATTTTTCAAATTTCAAATTATAGGACAGCATTAAATGGCAAGTATAACTGTAGTGTATAGGTTAAGACAATAATTTCCTAGACCAACATAAAAATCGAAGGCATTATATTAGAATGTTTGGAAGGTACTTTGCTGACATTTTAAGCAAACAACAAAAACAAAAAGATTCAAATTATCACAAGCAAAAAGTAAATCATTTAAAGAAAAATTGGTGGCGGCTTACCAAATAACCCCTAAAAACAGTTTGAATCTTAGCAGCAGCCCATTTCTCCCGCCCACCACCTGTAAACATAGCACCTCTACCTTGACTAGTTAATCTCACCACCGCCACAGCCGCCTGTGCCGCTGCTACCGCCGCGTCCGCCGCTGCAGCGGTGGCTGCAGCTACAGCAATAGCATGCTTACTCTGTTCCTTTTCGTTCTCAGACATGTAAGATCTCAACCAATTAGTATCCACCGCCGGAAAGTTCACCGTATTCTGACCAACATTTGAATCTTTAACAGACTTTCCAAAACTCCATCTTTTTTTGTCTTTCTTTTCAGATGAATTAGACATGTTGTCTATATTTTCTTTTTCTTTTTTCATCCCAAGCAACCCCTTGAACCACCTCGTAGCTTTCCCCATTTTCTACACAAAAAAAATGTATCCAACAAAGATAAGGAAAAAGAGAGATATAGAAGATAGAAAGAGTAGTACTAAAAGCACTTAGGAGAGTACATTATGAACTAAGACAGACAGTTACAGAATCTTTACATGTTGCGAGCAACGAAGTGATTAGAACAGAACATAACAGTGTGGAGGAAAAAGTTAATAAAAGGGAAGAGTATCAAACAGTATATAATAATACTTGAGTTAAAGATTGAATTTTTATTTTTTGGGGAAATTCTTTTTATACTGACACAACCTCGTGAAGAACTGTGAAACAAGACAAAAAGGTGTGGCAGCAAAAAATATATTTTATAAAATATATAATGTAATGGAGGAAAATAAAAAGATTGAAACTTCACTTCCCCTACCAAACAAACAATAAACTACAGACCAAAAATCATTGAATAAGTTTGAACTAATTTTAAATGGCTTATACTATTGCCTCCTCCTGAAGTTCAAAAAAGAAATTATAACTTCCACCAGTAAGAAACTCAATCATTTTCTTTTTCTACCTCTTCACTCCATTCTCTTTAGTCAAAGTTTCAAATATTACAGACAAAATCATCAAAACTGAAAGCAAGTGGAAAAAGGTGTAATAATCACTTAACTGCAAAAAAACACTCGTGTTATTTTGTATTAAAACAACTCAAAACTTCACTTCCTTAAACTATTGCCCATCAAATGAAATATTTTTTTTTAATTTAAAAAATGGAACTTTCTTCACTTTTCTACCTTAAGCTCAAAGATACTTTACTTTCTCTTTCTAACTTTCTGAAATAAAAATGAAGAAATATTTCAACCTAAGGCCCCTCAATAAACCCCACAACTACAAAATTTTCAGCGGCTGACACAACCCCCGTGAATTTGTTGTGGATTTAACAGAAACCCCATTATGAGTATTTTGCTATATATTGTTATAATGTTACTACACAGAGGAAAAAATGATTTCGTACTGTATTTTTACTATCACCATTAAAAGCACTTACCAAATATGATAGCTATGAACTTTGATTTCTTGTGTTTTGTACGAACAAAAATGGATGTTAATAGCAAAAAGATCCTTCGGATTTGGCTCTTCCGTATCACTAGCTGATTTTCATTGACTTTGAACGATTTTTGTTCAGAAAAACTCTGCCATTTTCAATGCACAAAATCTTCTATTGAGTCTTGAAAATATATGAGTTTGTTATTGGAAGAAACAAAGAAAAGGAAGTGTGAAAGCAGATCTCTTCGTTTTTTTCTATATATTTGGAAAGACGAGGACTAAAGAGTAAAAATAATTAAGCTAAGTGTGAACTAGTGAATATTAGACTGATGTATAGGTATGTATATAAAAAGATTTATGCATAGTCATTCTAACTTAATTTGAGATTAAAACGGTAATTAATTTGATTAATTCATTTGAACTGGTATATAGGGATTTTTCAAATTCCTAGAATCCCGGGGTTATTGAATTAATTATGAAAATAATGCGGTAAAAATGGTACAATAAGTTGTTGTAGCCAGTTGGTAATGGTAGCAATCAACTCTTGATTTCTCAGGCTTAAAATTTGAGCTAATATTTTCAAATTTCAAAAATTTTCTTTCTTTAATTGGTTGAGATACTGTAGATCTCATAAACTGCAATCACCCGTTATATTTTACTATTAGGAGAAGTTGATTTGGACTTTATTTAAAAATGGTAAATAATTAAATCGAAACTTCAAATTTAAATAAGAAGAGTGCAGTGGCAGGTCAATTATACAGAAATTAGTTGATCTTTCGTCCTTAATTTTCCATGGCGTACGAATGAAAATCGTGGAATCTAATCTTTAACCTTTATAGCAATTCTTAGACATGAATATATTTTGGCGCATATCCTGAAAAAAGATAAAAGCATAAAGTTAATTTGTCCAAATCAATCCCCTTTTAAGACCTTAAAGGACCACAAATTTTCACTCTTTTTTAAAAGATGAGACGAGAAATTTGGTTCAGCCATTAAGCAATCGCTGTCCATTTCCTCTTAAACTGATAAGAACGCTCCACTATTATTCACTTTAATGTTTGTTATGGACTTCAAGCAGGCCAAATATGTCATGATTGAATTTAAAATTATAGACAGTAACAAAAAAATGTTTAACCTATTATACTATGTAAGTTACTTTTATTACTAGCTTGTCTATGTACTTTGTATTTACCTATTAATAATTATTTAAGCCTTACCAACAAAATTATTTAAGTGACTTGAGTGAATATTTATAATATTAGTTGTAGAACTTATACTCATCATGATATAGTTGGGCTCAAGTTTGCTAAAGCATAGTAAAACAGATAGCATTGCATATATTTGAACTTCAACGTGAGCTTTGTATACGGTCGAAATCAGGCACGCCCGATTTTCAGGCTCGAGAGTTCACCTTAGGTCCGAGTTCAAGTGAGCTCGACTTCGAGGTCGACAGACTAGACTCGAGCTCGAGGACGGAATGCAATGCCCGAAGATAGGAGTGCGAGGAATACCGAAGTTAAGTATGCTCGACCCCGAAATTGTACCGTTATAGATTTGTAACAGAATGAGCTAGATTCCTGCCACGTCCACAAGATCATGGTGCAAATCCCGGAATAGGATTGTACGATTCCGTACTAGGCGGTTAGCCAACTGTACCAATAATATTCCCTACTGTAAATAGAAATGTACCTTATTTAGGGTTACCCTATTATATAAAAGGGACCCCAATCATTTGTAAGAGGATACAATCACCGAAAAAGAATATACTCTCTACTTTTCGTTTACTGTTCATCAGAATTGTCCTTTTTCTTTACTGTTCTTATTTTATTGTTCCTAATTCATCTCGGGGTCACTAAGCTCGAGGTCACCACTGCTGAGTAACATTGGTTTGATTCACTTCTTTCTTTCATTTCTACTTCATATTTCTTGATTATTAATTAGTATTGAACTAAATCACATATCTTTAAAACCACAAATCAAATTTAATTGTTACTCGTATTTTCGAGGTAAACAGTTTGGCGCCCACCGTGGGGCTAAAGATAATAGTGATTATTTTTTTACTGATTCTCATTACACACGTTATTTTTACGCTTTTTCTTGTCAAGAATTTTTGATTCTCGGGCTGAAACATATCTAGATCACAAAATGCACCTGTTCATAACAACGAAGGTCTTGGAGAAAACAACAATTTAGGGGTCGGTGTACCACCGATAAACCCTGGGGAAGTGCCAAATGTGGAACCAGTTGATGTCAGTTCACATATTGCTTTGGATGCAGATTTAGGCGCAGACCCCAGAGGGAGTGTACGAAGAGAAGCCCCATCTGGGGGCCAAGGAACACCAGGTATATGAGATGGGGGAGTCAGCCTCCAAGTGATATTTAAGATGCTGCAAGCTCAGCAGATCGCCATCGCTCAACTTCAGAGTCAGAACAAAACTCCGAGTGTAGCTGAACCAGAAAACACTCGACGTGCTGAACCAGCGCCAGAGAGGTCGAAAGGAAACAACTCGGGGACTGACCCCACCATTATGAGGATGCTCGAAGAGCTCACCAAGAGGATCGAGTCCGGGGAAAAGAAGATTGAAGATAATGATAAGAATGTGGAGACTTATAACTCCCGTGTTGACCAGATACCGGGGGCACCTCCAGTTTTGAAAGAATTAGATGCCAAAAAGTTCATACAAAAACCATTCCCTCAGAGCGCGGCTCTGATGCCTATTCCTAAAAAGTTTTGCATGCCCGATATACCCAAATATAACGAGACAACCGACCCTAATGAGCATATTACCTCATACACTTGTGGGATCAAAGGAAATGATTTGAATGACGCTGAGATCGAATCAGTCTTGTTGAAAAAGTTTGGAGAAACATTGTCGAAAGGAGATATGATTTGGTATCATAACTTACCTCCAAACTCTATTGATTCATTTTCTATGTTAGCAGACGCCTTTGTGAAAGCACACGCAGGGGCCATAAAGGTGGCCACGAGAAAATCGGACGTCTTCAAGATAAAACAAAGGAACGACGAGATGTTGAAGGAGTTCGTGTCCAGGTTCCAGATGGAGCGAATGGAGTTACCACCGGTCTCAGATGACTGGGCAGTACAAGCTTTTATGCCGGGTTTGAATGAAAGGATCTCGATTGCGTCTCGACAATTAAAATTGAATCTGATCGAGTATCCAGCTGTGACATGGTCGGACGTACATAACCATTACCAATCAAAGATTAGGGTCGAGGACGACCAGTTAGGAGCCCCCTCGGGCTCAGTTCATCCTAACAGGTCGGCAGCTAAGCCCCCGAGGGATACAGACAGGGAATCAAGGTCAAATAAAGAACGTTATCAGCCGTACATTGATCGGAGGAACAATGGTTCAGGCCGTAACGCTCCTCGGAATGATCGGAGAAACGATCGAGGATAGAGCTTTCGAGACTCATAAGCAAGAGCGGGTTGGATAAACACACCGATCCCGCGGAGGCACCTCGATTGTCAGAGTATAATTTCAGTGTAGACGCATCAGGGATCGTGTCAGCTATTGGAAGAATCAAAGACACCAGGTGACCCAGGCCTATCCAAACTGATCCTTCTTAGAGGAATCCAAATTTGATATGTAAGTACCATAGCACACATGGCCATAGAACCGAAGACTGCAGGCAGCTAAGGGAGGAGGTAGCTCGGTTGTTCAATGAGGGTCACCTTCGAGAATTCATCAGTGATCGATCTAAAAACCACTTCAGGGAGAGAGATGCAAGAAAAAATGAGCAGGAAGAACCACAACATGTAATCGACATGATCGTTGGCGGTGTTGACATCCCACAAGGACCTGTGTTCAAATGCACCAAGGTATCAATCACCAGAGAAAAACGGACTCGGAGCTATGTGCCCGAGGACGTCCTATCATTCTGTGACGAGAAAGCAGAAGGCGCATCTCAACCGCACAACGACGCCCTGGTAATTTCTATTCTTTTAAATAAAATTCAAGTTAAGCGTGTTCTACTAAATCCAGGTAGCTCAGCAAACATAATCAGATCGAGGGTCGTGGAACAACTCGGCCTACAAGATCAGATTATAACTACGTCCCCGGTCCTTAATGGCTTCAATATGGCAAGCGAAACAACAAAGGGGGAAATAATCCTACCAATAAACATAGCCGGAACCATACAGGACACGAAATTCCATGTCTTCGAAGGCGACATGAGGTATAATGCACTCCTCGGGAGACCATGGATACACAACATGAGGGCAGTGCCTTCGACTCTTCACCAGATGATGTTCCCAACAGAAGAGGGAGTGAAAACAGTCTACGGAGAGCAACATGCTGCAAAGAAGATGTTTGCAGTCGAAGAAGTGGTGCCGATACCAGAGCCTTCGACCTCGGAAAATCGAGACCAAAAGTAAGCAGGAGGCTAAATAGCAATCATCACCCCCAGCCTCGGCGGAATCGGAGCATCAGGTAATCGAAGACGAAGAAGAGGACTTCCTTAATCCTCGAACCTTCGTCGTTACCAAAGAGTCCGATACAACCAAATCAACTGTCGAGGAACTGGAGCAGGTCATATTGATCGAATACATGCCCGAGAGAAAGGTATACCTGGGAACGGGGTTAACCCCCGAACTCAGGAAAAAACTCATTCAATTTCTTATTGATAATATGGATTTCTTTGCTTGGTCCCATTTAGATATGACAGAGATTCCACCGAAAATCACCACACATCGGCTAAGCATCGACCCCAGGTTCAAACCGGTAAAGCAAAAAAGGAGGCCCCAGTCCGAGGTGAAACATGCGTTCATAAAGGATGAGGTAACCAAACTTCTTAAAATAGGGTCTATTCGGGAGGTAAAGTACACCGAATGGTTAGCCAATGTAGTGGTAGTTCCAAAAAAAGGAAATAAACTTAGGATGTGTGTAGACTATAAGGACTTGAACAAAGCATGCCCAAAAGACTCTTTCCCACTTCCCAACATTTATCGTATGATCGATGCCACGGCCGGCCACAAGATACTAACTTTTCTCGACGCCTACTCCGGGTACAATCAGATTCAGATGAACCCGGAGGACCAGGAAAAGACTTCGTTTATTACTAAATTTGGAACTTATTGTTACAACGTAATGCCCTTCGGGATAAAAAATGCAGGAGCTACATATCAACGCCTAGTCAACAAAATGTTCGAAGAAAAAATAGGTAAAACAATGGAAGTTTACATTGATGATATGTTGGTTAAGCCCCTGCGCAGAGAGGACCATTTGACTCATTTGCAGGAAACATTCAAAATTTTGAGAAAATACAACATGAAGT